TTCTTTTCCAGAAATGCTTGCTGTAATAAAACTCCTCTACTGTTCGAGAAGTATGAACCAACATACGGGAAAAAGTCCGAACGGAACACTCAACATACCATCGATTCGTTTCTGCGCATCCGCAGAAAGCGTTCGTAGAAAACCCGTAACAGTGTCGATATCGACATCTTTTGGAATGATGCTTCTATCGAGAGATGGCACTGAAAGAACCGTGCTTTTTTCTTCTACACTGTTCGGTCCTAAAAAACGGCTGAGATAATTCACTTCACCCAGGAAAAGTGAAAAATTTCCATTCAGACTGACTTGTTGATTGGGCTCAAAAATTTTAACGACATAGGATGGTTCCAAAACTAATGAGAATAAGAGAGGATAAAAAAAGAGCCAAGCTATAAGATAAACGTAGCAATACCTTCGGATGATGCAGCTCCAGCAGCGGCAGAATCGACACAAACTTCCATCGGTTGCGGACTACAAGGCGAACATGCATTAGGAGCACCTCTGCAAGTAGCCCATAAAATTGGAGGTTTGTAGGGCATGAAAATGCAGGAAATGTTAAAAGACTGATTGAAAAATTATAAAACAAAACATTTTTTATGTCTCCGAAAAACAGAAAGAGAAACGCGCACCAAGGATGCGCATCATGCGTTTTGCGCAGTTCTGTCCAGCGGATGCCTACTGTTAAAGAATGCTCACTGCTTCATCAGTTTGGTAAGTGTACAAATAGTCGAAATGCTGCCTCGTCCTGGAGCAACGAAATTTGTTACCGGCTATTCCACGCACTCAGTGATATGCAAAGGTTCGTAAGAGCTGAATTTTTAGGATTGCGCAGAAAGAGGAAAAATTCACTCATAAATTTATTCTGATTACTGAATTAAAAATTTCCCATGTGAAATTTCACGTGCTCCCATGCGATCTAAAAAACTTAAACTCAGCCTTCTTCTGTCGGCGAGTAACACGTATGGCTCCGTAAAAGTTCTGGCGGATAAATTATCTCGGGAACCCTTCGCCTTTAGCCCTGTACCTGCCATCCCCCCACACCCTCCATCACTGCAACTCGACTGTTTCCGGACCTGAGTTTTAGTAGATGGCAAGACAAGCAAAAACAACTAACTGAATACACGCTGAAGAAGTATATTTGACGACAGCATCTATGAGCGACGGAAGTGGCAACTTTGCATCACCGGCCGAAAATTCTTTCCATCTAAAAAACATTGAGAATAGTACCTTCGGCACTGTACTGTACTTTCACACCATCCTCTCAAATGGCAAACTTTCATGAGCATCACCAGTTGGTCGAGTTGTGATAAATTAGCATTTATGTTCGAAAAAAAAAATACCGCCATCTCCCAGGCAGTAATTCTGGGAATTTGCTTCCTGGTTTCCTTTCTTATAAAGTGCACCACACTCCCTCCGCCACATGCAGACCCCACTAATAAGCAAAAAAATTTTGAGAATAAAGCCGTAGAAAGGATAGAGGATGTAACACAAACCCTTCGAGTTGGGATTTCACGTGTGAAAGCTGGCTTTTCAGACCGTTCCGCTCAATTCGTTTCTCGTTGACAAAAGTACGATTTCGGTACAGAAAGCGGTCCATGTACAATTCGCGGGGAAACTGAAATTTACTGTGGACTTTTTCCGTCTGCCCATTTGTGTAGCTAAATCGAACCAGCGAGAATATGATGACTGGTGGCAGCGATTCGAACCACATCTATAATGAAAACAGCATTTTCCTCAATACTTGGACTCCTAGCTCCCCCATGTTCGCCCATAATGCAATCATTCGAAACACCAACTCATACTCAATTTGTTAAGTAAATCATGCAAACCAGCAATCATAAAAGAGTGTAAGAAAAAGCAGTTTAAAATACCTCTTTGGTAGGAGCGTCTGATAAGTGATAAGCCTCCAAAGAGTCATACAAATTGTCGTACGTGACATCCAAATTGATCATCTGCAACGAATTGGCCAACTTCAACGGTGACCAAGATCCATCTAAAAATTCACAGTTGCAAATGTGAAAATTTTGAAAAATTACGCCAGTATAAACATAACTGGTAAGACAATACATCTTGGGCTGGGAATGTCCGGGGAAAGGTGGTAATGACCAGTACATAACAAATACATTAAGGCCATGTCAAGTGCTTCCGTCGGCAACTGCTGCTGGTGATTCTTTCAGGGGAGACGAACAAAGCAGTCCCTGCAGACCGGTGAACAACCGATGCGATAATGGACGAGGCAATTGGAAAAGTTGCTAGCATCGCAGCTGGAGGGCCGACAGTGAATTGGAGCTGATCTGAGCATTCCCCTCAGTACGCCAGTTTATTTCTTTTGGTTATTGGAGCTTTTAGAGTGATGGCAAATACGTCTAAGTAAGAAGTGGCTTTGAATTCGCTCCTTGAAAAACTAATCCCCCTACAGCTCGTTAACCCATTTTAACAGTAAATAAGCAACCTTCAGCTCACTTGCAAGCAGTGCCTCTTCAGCTAGTTCATAGGATAGAAAATCTTCCACTGAAACTTTCGCGCATCTTTGAATGAGAAGTAGGGATACGTAAAAGCTGAAGTTGGCGGAGCTAACTTTCAGCAGGAAAATTCCCACTGAAGGTTCAATTTCCTAGCACCTCTGGTTGCTAATTCGAAAAACCCGGGCCCATATTCGAAAAACACATACATACATACATATACACCTAGCATTGACAATATGCGTTCTGTAACTTAAAACGCATAAAAAATATAAAAGTTTTGTCCATCAATAAAAAAAAGTAGCCTGGCGCTGGTCGAATTTCAATATGTGAGCCATGGAATAGTGTGTTGAAGGGATGCGTCGGAATAGGATTGGAATTGAGATCATCACCGGGTAGTCCGTTGGTTTCACCACATGATGACATGGCCGGTGTCTTCCAGCATGAAACGCCCGGGGTAGCATTCTCCTGAAACTCGAATCAGCCGGTAGAGTTTCAACCGGGAATGTTAAAAGACGCTAGTAAAACTGGGGAGTGTTTCACAGAGCTGAAGATTTATCAAAAACCCACACTAGTATCCATGGCATCCTCATTCGGAATGCCCGATCCCGATGGACTTGAGAACTGCGGCACTGATTTATCGTTGAATGCTTTCTCAAGCCACTCAATCAATCGCAAAAGCATTTCGGTGGCATCCTGAAAATCAGCAGGCCGTTACATTCGTAGCTGGGTCAAAGTACTGCCAAGCCGCTCAAACTGCCTGTTTTTTTTTCTCGTTGTTGATGAGATCTAGGCAAACACGTCAGACCTTCCAGCTTGAGAAATTAAATCAATAACGCCCGACTACCAGCGACACAACCCTGTGTTAACGATCCACATCCATACACCCGCGCACTTGTACCTAGGCTTTCCATCCGAAGCCACATCCCGCCAAAATGAATCCATCATTCTACTGTGTATGCGCAACATCTGATCTAAAACCGTCCGAGTTTCGTTCACACACACACACACGCGCACACACACACATACACATAGAAACACACACAAAAACACACACACAAACACACACACACAAACACACACACACACAAACACACGGACAAACCCACACACACACAAACACACACACACAAACACACACACAGACACACACAAACACACACACACACAAACACACACACAAACACACACACACACATATGAAAAA